TATCAGTGCCTACTGTTGCACGCTGTCGCTCATCGATCTACGCATCTGCTTGATAACTGCGTTTATGGGACACTGGTTATCCATAAGTCTACAGTAGCATCCTTGATATGCGTTATATGGGTTTATAGAACCCAGAAGGCTAGTAGATGATTTCGTGTCAATACAGTAAATAAAGGCCGACTAAACCACTGTTGGGAAGGCAGACAATGACGAACTTCGAACACCGTCTCCGCACTTGACCAGAACGCAACTGGCCAAGCTGCTCGCGAGCACTCCGAGCCGTCTCCTCGGACCCGCCTCTGAACCGTCACCTCCACTCTGGGCCACACCAAGTGACCAAGAGACTCTTTCCTCCCTAAGCCGTCCTCCGCCGACCCGCTCAGTGACCAATTACGAACTCTGAATACGATTCCCTGCTGTTGTGGACTGTGTGCCCGTGGCTGGCCGCAGAAATTTCTAAGTGCTGACTCCGCGGATGAACACGAGCAGGACCCAGCGCAACAATTCAACACTGCAAGGGCCCCTACCGTTCGACGAAAGTCGAACATCGGTTTTATTTCCGATGTGGAACTCCGAAACACCAGACAGCGCCTAAGAATATTACACCATGAAAGTGTGCTTCCAGGAGCGTTCTTGGCCGTCAGAATTGCAGAACGGATCTGATACAAAATGCTTCTGCAAGTATCAAATTGGATGTATGTGCGAAAACAGAACCGCCTGCGGAACATGCCCCCATGGCCCCGCTACGCGCGATTTCTCGTTTCCAAACATTCCCGCCCCCCAAACTGTTTTTAAGCATTATTATAACGTCGACCCCTCATGCGCCCTCTCTGGCGCACCCACCAACTCCCCGCACATACAACAAAATTACCATACTGACAAAATTATTTTTGATTTTTTGCCCCCCCCATCGCAGACGCACGAGCAATATTTCTAATTTCAATTTTCTATCCCTTCTGTTCAACTCACCAACCCTTCTGTTCCACCCCGCTAAACGCTTCTGTTTTCACACCGTTTCATTACTACGTACTTATCCACGTGCACTAATTCACTAGTGCATCCCCTTTACATTTGCACCCCACTTCATCTGTAAAATAGGGCCATAAAACTAATACCGCCGCAATTGCCCCCAAACACCTCATTTCAAAATATGCCTGCCTGACAGAACCGTTCTGCAGGGCCCCCAAAACACTACTGCACGGACCGATTTCCCTTCTGTCTGGAAAATCCTTTGTGGAACCGTGCTGCAAGGCACCCTACAAAACACTACCGCACGGAACGAAGGGAAATAGTGCATTCAACGGTTTCGTTCAATTGCTTTTGCCCGACGAAGCAAAACCGGTACAAAAGTTAGACAAGGTGTTGCAAATGGGTTTCATCACAAAGAAAAAGACTTTTCGGGATCACCAGGGACCGGAAGACCGCTGCACATCGTCAAGAGAAAATTCGAGGAATCAGTGTTCCAACAAGAAATTCCGGAAACAGATCGAGTTCAATTGGTGCACAACTGTTTATCAGGTACAGCTCAGGGACATTTCCCTTCCACAGTACGAAACACTGCGGAAGACAGTGAAATTTCATTCAAAATGATTTCATACATATTCGGCTCTAAAGAACATGGGTTCCAGGGATTGGCATACCATCGTCGATTTTCATTTTCAATAATTAAGAAGGAAAGGTCACTTTCAGATATTCAATCCCTGGCAACTGCACACTTGCGTATCTTGAATACATCTCGCAATGCAGACCATACGAAAATGGACATCAAGAACGACACATGAGTGAGTTCCTCCCAGGAATCCTCGATATGCATCCTAGGACTGAGCACGTCTTAACAGCATGAATAACTGCAAACGGAAGAGAGAAAGGCAGGGACTACAACTCACTCTATGGTATGTTGGTCTCAGCCTTGACGCTTGTAGACAACAGAAAAGCACCTCACAAAACGGAAATCCAGCCGAGGCTGTGTTCTCTGGCAGGACATATGGAAAACATATCTGCCGCACGAGAAACATATCAACGAAAAACATTTCCAACGTTGCCCTAATCAGCTCCAAATTTAGTTACGCTGACACACTGAAGAAGATTAAAAGCAACTGCGCACTCCAAGCATTGCTCCGCTCTCATATTTTACAACATGAATTCCGACAGTAGGTCATGGCGCCGCCGCAGAAACACTTGTTGTCCTCCGACAAGAGAATTGCAGGTGCGTAAAGAATTGCATGTGATTGTCAGTCGGCAACACTCGTGTGTGCTCACAACGGACAATACGTGAATGAGTTGGGATACTTTGACAGACAGAACACGTGTGGAAACTAGTTGCAGATAGTCAGGGAGAAGCAGAAAGCATTCTGGAGAGCTGACAGAAATAATGGGAGTGAACGCAAATCTCCTGATTGCATTCGCAACAAACCCAAAACGACTCTGATTGAGTAATGTTTTCTGGTCGCGTCCTAAGGACGCGGCGCTGAGCAGCACTATTGTTCTAATGATAGTAGCGGTCAAGCCATATACTGTAGTAATGGCTGATTGTGTAATGTTTTCAGATCGCGTCCTAAGGACGCGGGGTTGAGCAGCACCATTGTTCAAATGATAGTAGCGGTCAGGCCGTCTACTGTAGAAAAGGCTGATTGTGTAATGTTTTCAGATGGCGTCCTAAGGACGTGGGGCTGAGCACCAGCCCCGACTCCGGACCATGTAAAATTTGTTGACTCTATAGCACTATCGTATAGCTTGGAGCATAATTTCGTGTATAAATGTCTCTGAAGGTTTGAACATTTTATGAAATCTATAGTTTGAACGAAAGCGGCAGCCCAAACTGGAAAGCTAATTTGTTCGTTCTTTATTTTTCAATTATTCCCTTCTCGAACGCCCAGGAAAGGGCAATTCGAACGGGCACGGGAACTGAATCGGGAGATTCTGTTAGAGCTTTAGAGAATAGCCCGGGCATGGCTTGCGCACTCCTGTTTTTGCGGAGAGAGTTATATTTTCTCTCAGTATCAGTAGTAAAGAAATTCTTCGCAATTGAATCCCTTATTGATGGAGAGTCCCATGTCGTCTGTCTCTTCGGAAATGAATGCGGCATTCCAAGAAGTCTAGTCCGGGGTCTAGTATTTATCCGTGAAAAACTTGACCTTTTGGATGTCCAGTGAATGTCTAACTAGAGTCGGACATTCACTTACACTTACATTGTGAAAGTCCAAGTCTAGTTTGACTAGGCATGAACTACAGACAAGGGATGTCTAAGTCTAGTTAGACTACACGTGAACTAGACATCCTGAATGCCCAAATCAAGTTGGACTGACCATGAACTAGTCATTCTGAGTGTCCTGTTCTATTTGGACTGCACATCAACTAGACATAATGAATGTCCCGTTCCAGTTGGACTACATGTAGCATAAACACCGCCAGCGAGAGGCGTGTATGCACAGTTCGACCGAGACCCTTGTCGATCGGGAAGACGGGCGTGAAGCGGGACACCAGCTAACGGCACCGGGCAGCGGGCCCCGGTAGCGTGGTAGAGCGGTAACGGGGAGGACGCGGGCACGCGCAAGCGGTTCGACGCCTCGACGCCCCGGCGCGGTACTGGGTAACGATCCACTACCGACGGGCGGAGGCGGAGCCGGCTCGTGGGCGTGCCGCGCGCGTCCTCAACCCGCGATCCGTGCCGCTCTAAGGTAGTTAGCGAGCGCTACCTTAGAATAAGCGGGAAGTTGGACCTTGACGGTCAGTGGGTGACAAGTCCGTGCTTGTCCTCTTCCATCGCCGCCGGTCTGCTCCATATTTAATATACAAAACAATCTATAACAATACAGTACCGAAGTACTGTAGTGGACTACTGTAGTACAGATCGGACCGTACTGTAATACTGTCAGCCATCGTGGCTGACAGTACACGTGTGTGTGCGAGCTTCCGTCCCGCGCGGTACACGTGTGCACGTGTGCACGCGGGGGCCCTGTACCCGAGGGGTACACGTGGCCACGCGCCGTAGTACTGTAGAGCATCGGGCTCTACAGTATTGGATCCCGTTGTTGATCTAATCTAACTAAAAAGCCCCAGGGGGGGTTATACTACACGGCCCCCCCTTAAGCTGGGACGTCCGCGTCCACGGGTGCTTGTAGAGAGGGGAATACATGTCCGGCCACGCCATCTATACGGCCGATCATGCTCCCTCTGTCGCCTCCGCTCTCTGGCCGTTGTCCTCCGTGCTCCTCATCGCACCCCCCTACGCGCACGCTGGTCATTCGCCCTTCCCCCTCAGACCCGACGAACTTACCGGCGTCCAGTCCCGTACGAGGCGTTGCGCGATCTCCGCACCCCTGCCACCTTTCTTCCCCCTCTTCGCGCACGACTTCCCCACTGTGCGTACTGTACCCGTGTTTTTCATAGCCCCCTCCCCGCGTGTGTGGCATTATGTCTACCCCACCGTTGCCGGTCACCTTGCGCTCGGCCTTTGCGGTCGCTTCTTGCTGGCTACGAGGTCATTGCCGAGCTCTCGCAGCATGTGCGGCACATCCGCTTACCGCCGGCATGACATCCGGTTGCGCTCGCCCAAATGCATCAGGATTTGCAGCTTCTGCATCATGAGCCCGTGCAGAGAAACAATGTTCTCCCCCAAACTGACTGCCTCCTCAGCAAACAGCTCCCCTTTTCCTTGAACGTCGCTAACATAGGGTCCTCGCCGATCTGGTTCATCCGCATCAGATACTTTGGTTACCGACTCGAGCAGCTCTTGCACTTCCCCGCCAGTCAATTCCAGCTACAGCTCCTTGCGCAGCAGTGGCGTGAGCATGTCGTCCGGCTGTAGCATCCCGGTTTTGACACGCCCCAGCATGGAAATCAAGTAGTCGGGTCGTGTGCCGTCTTGCGCGTCATTGGCTGCGCTCAGCCTTGCCAGCGCTTCTTGCTTGAACCCGCGCGCACCTCGGTATATACGACACCAACAAAGGCGAGCATGCCCTTCTGGTCGATGATGACACAGTACTCACGCGTGCCATCCCATGCTTGTTTCTTTAAAGCGGTCAGCTTCAGCACTCGATCACCCATTACAGTGCACTCCGAATCTACCATTTTCCCACGCTGACCCGCCGACGAGTAGTTTGGTCCTTCTCCCTCGTTTCCCACGCGGCGTACGAGGTCAGCAAGTCAGGCATAGGGTCCTTGTGTGGAGCGCGACCGTCGCGAATGACGATGCGCGCCATGGCGTCGGCGGAATGGGTAGATTTGTAAGTACTGTAGCGATCGCCGACGCCCTAAATCGTAGGATTAGTCGTCTGCCACACATTGGTGACCTTCAGTCCAATCTTGCTGTCATGCCCGACACCAGTCCTTTCCGAGTCGAGGGTTCTCACACTGGGATGGCGTCCTGCGCCTACCAGCATGGTGTCAAACAGATTCCCGACGGGCTTGAAACCCTTCTCCTCTGTCCGTATGATCAGCTCCTGACACACCTCCGTTGGTGTGTCCGTTCTTCCGGGCTGGTCTGTCCCGACTCGTGCCAGTCGGTGCCCCCAGACGGGAAAGCGTAATCGCTCCATCAGGACCACCAGTCCAGCCCTCCGATTGTGCACCTTGCCGCGTGCTCCACACACGTCCTTCATATCGTAGACGTCCCCCGTGGGGCGTGAACGGGGAGAGCGAGCGGTACGGCTCCTCACCATTCTCCCCGCGTATTTTCCTTCTCTGAGGCGCGGTGGCCATGGGGGGGAGGTCGTCCGTTGGTCCCTCCCCCTCGGCCTCTTGGGAGCATCTGCGTTGCTGCTTATCGCCGGCTCTGGGCTAGCACGTGCCATTGCGTATGGCTGTGGAGGGCCGCGAAGAGAGAGGGGGGTACGTCAGCGTCCTCAATGCGTTCGTTGAGGCTACGCGTGGCCGTATTTTTCGTGGGTCCCCGTCACTCGCCTCTCTTTCTTTGGGAAGGAGCCGGGGAAGCCGACGTCTTATTGGTCCCGTCTGCGGCGGATGGAACCGGTACGGTCCTGGGGAGGTCACTCCGAGGTCGCCTTTCGCGGTCGCTCTTCGACCGGGCCTGAGGCCGCCCATACGTCCCGACTTATTCAGGGGGGAGCGTAGGGCGATGAGCGATCGATTACGGTCCCGCGATTGAGGAGGGTCCGGAGAGGGAGACGTGTCGGACGAGTTTCCAACGCATGTAGTCTCACAAGGGGGCGTGTCGCGCGCACGTGAGTGCCGCACCCTTCGGTCGGCTCTCGACGGCCCAAGGGCTTCCCTGCGACTATCGCCGCCTTTCCTGGCGGTCTCCTCATTTCCCTTCCGTCGGACAAAACAGTTCTGAGCCGACAGTACCCCATCGCCGACGGTGATCCCTTCGCTACCAGCGAGTCCCTAAAGCGGGACGGGGTGAGGTTTGAACTACTGGGCGGCTCGAGATGCAGCACGACATGGCCCGAGATTCGACCTCGAAGGCCCTGCGCGCGTTGGTCCTAGCGGACTCTTGTGGAAGCCCTCCTCTGTGCGCCATCGCGATTAATTACGCGAAGGTGTACGCAGCGCCAGGTCGTCGGTATGGCCAACGACCGGTCGGGTCGTTCGCTCGTGCCCTCCCCGTTTCAGGAGGTGGCACAGGGGCCTTCAGCGAGACTTCTTTCGGGATTATCTGCTGTATCATGCTGTCCGTCCCGTATGAGACCTTTGTTTCACTCGAAGTGAGTCCTGGGTCCGCCGTGGACATCCACGAGGACATCCACGTCCCTTGCGACGCTCTGCACGACGCGTCCGTGGCGCGGCGTGCGGGGGGGTGGTGAAGGCGCGCCCCCGTTTTTGAGTATGGATTCCGCCTCCACGGCACTTGCCTTGGGCGTCTTCGGGCAGTTGTTCTCGGTCGTTCCGCCAGTAGCGACATATTCCCTGTAAGCGGGGAAATCGAAGGAGGCGTACACAGCGCAAGGGAGATGTTAGAAGCGCCGGCTGTCGTGGGTTCGAGTTCTCCTGCGCCCCTCCGCCTTCGACGGCGGAGGCTCGACGGCACAGGAGCGGCTCGCCGGGGGACGGCTCGGGCCTGTCTCTCGACCGGCAGGCGGTCGAGCGCTTGCGGAGGAGACTGTGAGGGAAAGCCGCTTGGTCGGCTTGGGGGTTCGAGCGTCGAGAGTGCAAGGGGTCCGTCCGATGCGGCGTTCCGGTCGAGCTCGCACACTCCTCACCCTCCGGTGAGGGAGGGGCCGTGTGTTCCTTCTGGTGGTACCCGTTGTACCCCCGTACAGCGCCGTCCGCCATTTCTTTGTTTATCGTATGGCGTGCAGTACCTGTGCACGCTGCGCACGTGCTGCTGTAATTTCGCCCCCTTACATTTTTCGTTATTTTCGGGGTATGGTGGCGGCAGTGATTTGGTGATGACGCAATCGGTGTTGGTGCATGGCGCGCATCTGGCGCCGCTCACGTGTAACGTTCTCACGCCCCGTAATTTCCCTTATTGCCGGTCATGTCTCGGCGGCGGTTTTGAAGTGTCTCGCGTCCGTGCGCATATATTGCTGCCCCTCCAACTGAGTTGCTCTCGCGCTTGCGCCCCTTCCTTAACAATCCTGGCGACTGTTGGGGCGAACGCAGCCTCACTCGCCTGCTCATCTCCACATGCCTTTTGCGCGTTTCCTCGCGCACGACCCCTATCGATAGGGTCATGACCACGTCGTCCGTCGGTTTATCGGACCCGGATGCGGACGGAGGGCCCGAAGTGAGCCCCAACCTTCTCGGATACTCCGAGACACAAGCGACGGGCATTCTGGTCGCTTACTCTGCCCACCGAGGGGCCCTCGTGATTCCCACGCTGATCGCCTCGTTCGTCGAGCGTCCCTGCTCGCGGTGGTTGCTTGGACTTAACGGATCGTCCGGCAATCCTGTTTGGGGGGGGGTCGTCTGACTTTTTCGATCCGAACGGGGTTTTGCCGTCCTCGTAATGTCGGTCATTACGAGGGCCCAACATTTTTTCAGGCAGTTCGTACTGTCCTGTTCTTATGTCTCGCGTCCTTGACGTCCGAGAAGTCAAGACGAATTGACTTGAACACGTCCCCGGCTGTGACCATCCGATAGGGTCCACTGTCCTCCTTCGCTCCCCCATTTAGTCTGTTCGTGCAGGCTGGGGCTAATCCGCGAAGGAGCAGTTGAGGGCCCCCCCTTAAGCGTGAACGTCCGTGTTCACGTCTGGGGAGAGGCTTCTGCCGGTGCGCCTCCGGAGGCGTTGGGAGTAACGAGACACCAACTCCTCCGGGACGTGAGTCCGCGCAGTCCAAGTGGGCGTGTCGTAATCCGCCCACTTGATGATGAACTCCATAGTTTCGTCTTCCATGACTCGATGTCTCAGTAGCCGTTCGACGGCATACTGCGTTCCCGCGGTGACCTTGTCGGCGAGATCCCGCGGGGTCGCCGTACTTGCTCGTGGCCCGTTTATCGGAGACGGCGCGTACACGCAGCGGTCGGCTGAAACTCGCTCGGGGACCCCATCACGATCGATCGTGATGGTTCGGCGGTCATTGGCGAGCACGCGGTAGGGTCCGACAGCGGGCGAGGCGAGCTTGTTCGATGTCATAGCCCCATCGGTGGGGTTGAGATATACGTATTCTCCGGGACGGAGCCGGGAATTAATACGTCGTATGCGCTTATCGAAGTCGCGCTTGTAGCGAGCCTGTGTCCGACGCAGGCTCCCGTAGGCCTTTTGGATGGTCGAGTCCAAGGTCTTCAGGAACTCGGCACGTTGGTTCCCCCTATCGGACGGGGGCGCGTCGCCGTCCGCCCGTCGGAGAGAGAACTCCGGCGGTGGCCTGCTGAGCACGAGCTCAAACGGCGTGGTGCGTGTGGTGCGATGTACGTGGGAGTTGTACGCATACGTAAGCGGCCCCACGTACACATCCCAGTCTTCCTGGTGTTCACCCACGTAGTTCCTCAGCATCGAGGTGATTGTTCGGTTATATCGCTCGACTTGCCCGTTCGTCTGGGGATAATACGCCGAAGTGTACAAATTCGCTATCCCCAGAACGCGGCACGTGCTCTGGACGAACTTGGCATTAAACTGAGGCCCGTTGTCCGAAAGCAACGTGCGAGGGACGCCATACTTGAACACCCACGAGTCGCAGAACGAAACTGCGACCGTTGTACGCTGTTATCGTGCGGAGCGCAACCACTTGCGTTAGCTTACTGAAGTGTAGTGCAATGTGCCTGGCAGGCCGCGAATACAGTCCGACGGTCAAACAAAAAGAAAAAAACAGAAACAGCAACAACCACTGCCGATGGCACGCGCTACGGAGCGTTCGAGACTCCCTTTCCCGTTGTGTGGGCTTGCGGCCCACGGTAGCTCAACTCCGACGGGGGGGTAAGGAAAAATGCCCGGCCCGGGAGGATAATGGTGGTAGAGACTTGTGAAGACTTGAGTGCTCGACGAGTGCGGGTTGGGCGTCGTCTACTGAAAGGTGACCGTGGTTCGCTGGGTTGTAAGGCCAAAACTCGTTGAGCGTCTTCGACACCTTGAGTATACTTCAACGTCTTCGACGGGGGCTCGATTAGCACTACCCGACGGGATCGTAATTGTGTAGCAGCGCTACGACCAACGTGTTGCCCGATGGCAAAACACCGACACCAATGCGATCGCAATCGCGGTTGGTGGCACCAACACGGTCTTGTATGATAAGACCTGTGAAGGAGGCGTCGTTGCAACAGCCTTCCGACGGGACAGGACACTGTAGCAGCGCTACGACCTACGTGCAGCCCGATGGCAATCACACCAACACCGGATCGGTCGCGACCGACTCCAATGGAACCAACACAATTAAGGGAAAAATTGATGTGGAGATAGAAAAGGATAGGAATTAGAGATAGAAAAGGTAAAAGGATAAGGATAGGGGACCCCGAGCAATAGAGGATGTCGTTAGCAGCGTAGAAGTGAAGCGCGTCGCGTGAACGGAAGCGGTCTTCGACGAAGGCGAGATCTAACTCCGGCAACTCAGGTTACCTTTACTCACTTGGGTTGGTAACTGGACTATGCTATATAGCCCCGCCGGGGCGAGTACAGTAGCTCTCGGCTCTAGATTCTAGATCTAATTTGTAAATAGAATTAAATATTTAAAATAATCGTGCGCATAGTTGCACACGTGTGTCCTCCAGCCCGGACCACAGTATCCAAAGTTTTTCCTTTTCTCACTTCCTTTCACCCTCCTACCCGAGACGGGTATTGCACTACATGAAGCGGTCCGTAATCACGAGCAGGAATCGTTTTTCTGTCTTCGTCTTGGGGAGCGGCCCCAAGATGTCGATCGCGAGGCTCTCGAGGGGCCTCGTAGCTGGAAACAATCTCAATCGGTTGAGACGTTTCCTCAGTTTCACGCGGTTCATCGCGCAGGTTCGACACCCTCGCACCGTGGCTGCGACGTTTGCAGCCAGGTGGGGCCAGTAGTACTCGCATCGAAGTGCGTAGTACATACAATTCTGGCCCGGGTGCGCCGCGATGGCTGGGTTGTGGCACAGGCGAAGGAGCCTAGCGCAGAGCGTCCGAGGTACCACCACCTGAACGATATCACGGTCGAAG